CTCATACGGCCCTGCTGTACATTAGGATCTGAGGCGATCTACATCAATATTTTACAAACAAATTGTCGTGAGGCCCTGTACACACACACACACACACACACACACACACTAACACTCAGGCCCCCGTGCGGTGGGCCGTGCCCCCGCAGCAGCTGCAGTATAACGTCTGAAAAAGGAAAATGACTGGAAACGGCAAAACGGTACGGACGGCATCCCGCGCGCACGCGCGCCTTACCCCGGCCTTCCCTGCCTTGCTGCCCCTGATTTTGGTTATTTCATACCGCGGGAGTGAAAAGAAGTGTTTGTCCGCTTTTCCATTCTGATGCGTCATGCGTCATTCTGATGCCACATTTCCTCTCTCGCCCTTTCTCTCTCTCCAACGCACGAATAAATAAACGGTCGGCACAAAAGAGGAGAAAATGTCAAGTAATATTTCTTGCATTGTCCCCTCTTTCTTGGCCGCGTGCATGAGCCCCCTGCCATTGTTCGCAGCCAATAAATTTGACATGCAGCCGTGTAGAGGCCCTGCGCGCCACTGGCCCCCGTCACATGCGCACGCGTAACGGTTAGGGCCCAAAACCCAGAGTAATTATATTCCGATTGGAATGGCCACTGGAGGGTCGCTATCCTTACATTGGGCCCCCTCGGACACGTGGATTTAGGTAAACATATTATTTATCGCTATTCCCTAGCGGACGCGTCGTGCACGGCGTCTTGATTTAGATGTTTGTATGCTTGTTGGATGGTCGTCCTAGTAAAATGAAGAAGTACGCTGCATTCATTCAGAATTTTGTCTCTCCGACTGGAAATTTATTATCCTGATTTCACTTTCATTAATTTCATACCAAAGTCAATGCCGTCGTTTTTGACAAGTTAAATTTCGACACAAGACGCGAAATCAATAGTGCGACAAACGGCCGATTTTGTGTCACTTGGTGGAACCTGCGGTAGAACCCACATAGAGGAATGAGAAAAATGAAAAGCCTCCTGGAGGACCTCCATGTCCACCTCGCTCTTCCCGTCGATTAGAAATGGGTGTCACTCGAACGTTTGGATCTGCCTCCCGCACCCTCCGACCCTAGATAGGTTGATAAGAGAAAGCAGCTCGTGTGTGTATGACTGACGACTGTCTCCCGCCATTTTTTTCTCCTTTCTTTTTTTTTGTCGTAAATTGAAGGGTGGCGCGCTGCCGTAAAGACGCCGTGTTTATTGAGGTGTTTACTAACCTGACGTTGTGATCCGAAATTCGTCGGTTGCGACGAGTGGCGGACGAGGGCCAGAGGGGCGCAGGGCGCACCGGCCGAGCCTGCCGGTTGGTCGGGCCTAGGACAGCGGGGAGCCTGTGACCCCCCCCCCCCCCCCTCTCTCTCTCCCCTCCCCCCCCTTTTCTCTTTCTCCTTCCTCCTTTTCCCCCCCCCCCCCCCCCCCTCTCTCTCTCTCTCTCTCTTTCTCTTTCTGTTGCCCTGCCTCCCCTCCCCCATCCCTCTCTTCCTTATTCGCTCACTCGCTCTTTTTCTCGATGCTGTCAGTCAAACGAAAAAGACGAAGAGGAGAAATATGAAAGAAAAAGAATTGTGCACCTCAATCTTGGTGTCGTTACACGACGAAGCAGCTCGTTGTTATTTTATTTTTTCATATTCCTCGCGAGCGCACCTGCTGCTGGCCCGGGCCGGGCCCAGTCTGTGATTGGTCCGGTACGTGCCGCGGGGTCGATCTGGGCCAGGCGCGGCCCCGTGCGGCACGGCAAAACCATTCTCTCGCCCTGAGGACAGCCGGAGAGCGACGACGACAGCCCGCCATGCTCAGGCGACTGCACTATTACTTACCCTCCAGATGTAATCGACCCTTTTATTTATTTTTTGTTTGATGCTGTGACGGTCATGAAATGTCTGTTAATGGAGGAGTGGAAAGGAAAAGGGGGAGGAGGGGGGGGTGCTGTGAGAGAGATGGGGCTCCCCCTGCCGTGTCCGTGAAACACCCACATGTAATAAATTGGATGCGATTAATAATCGACGGAGTCGGAGCTCCCGTGAGCCGGTATGGGAGACACCTCGCAGCCTCTCCGCGGGTGTCGTTTGGGGCTTGTAGCCACCAGACACGCGGAGCTGGCGGAGCTCCTGGACGTCCGGCTGGGGGCCGCCGCCGCGGTGGCTGGGAGCCCCCGCAGCTGGAAGCCAACGGCCACGGGAGCCGGCGAGACACACTGGCAGCCCCGGGCCGGGGGCCGGGCCCCGGGGGCAGCACATCGTAAAGGTAATCATAAAGCCAGCCCAGCAGGGCGAAACAAAGAGAAATTCAAGGCGATGGCACTGGCTGTGGGGACCGATGCCGTGTTCACGTTCACACGCCTGCAAACACCAATCTGGTGAAATCGGCCCCGCCGCGCGCCTTCGCCCGCCGGCCCCACCGGCGCTGCGGGAGGCGGCGACGACGCGACGCACAGCACTAAATGAAACATGTTGTCCATAAAAATCTTTTCCATAAAGCGGTACAAGTTTGACGTGATCTTAATATTGCCATAGTCTTAAACCGCAAGGTTTGGGCTGTAAAATATTACGATGAGAATATACACCACACGTGCGATTCTTACGACCACGCATATCGCTTGTCTCTTCGAGATGACGGTGACGGCGTGACTGACTATGAAGTGGTAGCGTCACCCTCCCTCGCTCCCGTGCGCAGCCTGTGTGTTTGCCCTGTGCGCATCCTGCGTGCGCGCCGGCCGCCCGGGGCCGTGCCGGCCAGGCCGGGGGCGAGCCCAAACGTGACTCGCGCCGCACGGCAGCTCCGCGGGGCTTCGCGGGCCACGGGAATGGAGCTCGGCTTGTGGTTTCACTCGAGGCTGGCGATGGAGAGTGCTGCTGCCGCTGCTCCGCTGGCCGCGCGCACCCGCGGCGAGTCACACACCCGCAACTGTGTAGCTTACTAGCTACTGTGGTAGGTGTAGCGCGCCAAGACAAGAAAATTATGCCCGCCTACCACAGCTACATTCAATCAGCGTGACAATTTTCTTTTTTAAAAAATAGGAAAATTCTTCATCTTTGGGTTTATCTCTTTCCTAGCGGTCGGGCCGTAACTGGACAGGCGTTGAGTTACGCTTTGTTTATCGGCGATGGACGTGCGTCAGAGTGCTGGAGGGAGCTAGAGAGAGGAGAGAGAGGAGAGAGAGAGAGAGAGAGAGAGAGAGAGAGTAGGGCGACGCGGCCCGGCCGCCAACCCCTTAACTCACAGGCAAATGGACGCTGAGGACGGTCATCTGACGACGTCCCCCCCTCCCCCCTGGAGGACGAATGCGGACCAAGTGGAATCCAAATCGCGTCTAGCAACACCACCTCGCCGCGCCACGCCGCGCCGCTCCCCGTTATCCGTAATTAGCGGCCGTCCTTGTCACACCCGCCGCGGGCGTCGCGTCGGAGGGAGCGAGACGGAGCGACACGGAGCGGAGCTGGCTGCGAAACAAGTTCCGTTTCTTGGCCAGCCCGGGCCGCTGGACGGGAGGGACAAGGAGGAGCGAGGCGAGCGATTCAATCTGACCAGTAGGGAGCGCTGCTGCCGCCGCTGCGAGCGCTTGCTATGCGAGCGCGGCGGCGGCGGCAGCGGCCCACCGAGGCAGCAAAACATTCATTTGATTCCTGCCGTGTGTGGTTTAGGTAGGGAGGGATAGCAACCAAGTGTTTTAATGTGTACGCCATTAGAGGTCCCAGGGCCGTGCATTTACGTCTTAGGGACGCCGAGCCGCGCCGCGCCGCGCCCGGCGTTGGTCACGTCGCGCCGTCACCCCGAGCCGAGCAAAGCCGAGCCAAATGGAAACCGCAGACACGAAAAACTTGCACGACACGCCGCCGCCGCGCGCTTTACGCTGTGTGCAGCAGCGGGAGGCTCACGTCCGACGCGGCGGGCGGCGCGGCGGGTACCTTCAGGGTACCTTCAGGGTACCTTCAGGGACCTTCAGGTTACCTTAGCCCGCGCGCCGAGCACCCACCCCGCCCGGGTTATTGCCTGCCGAGCATGCGTGTCGCACACCCACAGAGCTTGTCGAACTTTCTTGTCGCTCTTTTTCTTTGCGCCGCGCAGTTATAAGAATTATCCGGAATTATCATTATTGGTTTCAAGTACGCTGCAAATAAACCCAGGTGGATGACTTAGGTCAGCTTTCTACTGGTCAACTTTTGGTCTACCGGGTTGACAGCATGGCATAAGTGTCTCACTACAACCATGGAGTTTCCTAGTAAGTGGACCAGAAGGGTGTCCAGCCGAAGGGGAAACCACTTCACTTGCGTACTATCTCGTACACCCAGGCCTGTACTAAAGACGTACTAACTCGCACTAACAGCGTAATAACGCGTACTAATGGCAGAGATCAAGCGTAATAGTGCCGTTATAACATAATTTCGCATAAATGATGAAAAATGTACTAAAGTGTACTAAACGTACTAACTCGTACACTTTTATCCGCAAGAGATTTCCACCTCGTGTCCAGCAGGTGGCTGACCTAATGTGGTCCTGTTTTGGGGGTCCGCTGACTTAATCACCTAAACCTGCTTGGATTCTGAATTCCAATATTTTCACGGCCCCTTTTGTCCCAATTTTAACTCAATCTTACGTTGTGTTGTGTTTTAAAATGTGCAAGAAGGTTTGTCTTTCTTCCAATCTTTTTTTTTTTCTGAATCGTTAAAATATGATTTGCAGAGTGCGGAAGGGCGCCTCCTCCTCGGCCGCCCTAATTGTCCAGCTCCCGGAGTGAGATTGAAAGGAGCTGCGCGTCCCAAATCTCGAGAGTGCATTTCCATACGAGCGTGCGGCACGCAACGACGCGCCGTCCGGTCCAGGTGTGTGGCAGCCCCGCAGGGCAACCCCCACCCCACCCACAACAGCCTCGGAGGAGCCAAGAAAAGGGATAAAACTCGCGGGGGTAAGTCACGACAGGGTTTCCGGTCACCTGGTGAGCGCTCGCTTTGCAGCTTACATACGTACGGTATAGCCCCTAAGCTTCAACGATGATGGCAATAAATTTCTAAACTCTCACGATACATGTCGATGATATTTTCTCTGGAAACCCAAGTGTGTACTTGAATGCAGAATCTCCTGCATACCTACATGTATGCAGGAGATAGTGTGTACTTGGCAAGTATGCAGGAGATAGTGTGTACTTGGTCAAGTATGCAGGAGGTACACACTATCTCCTACATACTTGCCAAGTACACACTATCTCCTGCATACATGTAGGTATGCAGGAGATTCTGCATTCAAGTACACACTTGGGTTTCCAGAGTTGTCATTCAGCTATATTCATTTCATAGTTTTGTGATAGTGGTGTGCCCGCCCGCAGGATTGTTTCTCACCCTGGCAAAATCCAAGTGATCAGACAAAGATTATATTTCTTTTATTGTCTTAAATTACGATAGAATTCTAATTTTGTTTCGAAAAAATGTGTAGGTGTGGGCTCGTGTGGGCTCCGTCAATATGACATGTTTTTTTTTCATATATTTATGAAGTTCTGAGAGCGCGGGCTTTTGGGCGCGACTTTCACGCCATCACGCCATGTGAACAACAGATGGGGTGCACTGATTCGGACTGGAGGGCCTCTGTCCGTTGCGTGCAGCTGAGTGCAGCCTGTGGGTGGGTTAGTGGTTTCCACGCCGCGCTTCCACCACGCCAACGCCAATCATTATTGTTCTGCAGCGATACAGCCCTCCGCCACACTTACCAAATCCATAAAAGCGCTTGTCGATGTACTTTTGTTTGCCTCACTCTATATGGGGAGAGAAAACAAAGAGGGAAACAAAAATGTAGTTTACTTTCCCAGCCGGGAAATCTAGATCTTATGCGCTGCACTGTAATGTTTCAAGAACTCGCGCGCCTCACTTGAATCATAGCGGGTTGTCGTCTCTTCCCCCCATGTGTGTGTGTGTGTGTTGAAATAGCATGTGCCTGTGATGGTTGTCTCGGCGTGCAATTTCTACATTACGCGTGCGAGTAACAACAATTATTGCGCGCGCGAATATGTGCGCATTCCTTGTTTTATGGAGGCCCTGCTGCTGCTCCCCCGGCCCGGCCCCCGCCGCTGTCACGGAGATGGATGGTGTGATGCCGCCTGCAAACCGGGCGCCACCGCCACATCCCCGATACACTGCGAAGGAGCTTGTCAACAGGAGCCCCCCGCCCGGGCGCCGAGTGGCTGGAGGCTGCTGCTGCTGCTGC